AAGAGGCTCCTGGCTTCGGATTGGCATAGCATCGGCCGTTGCGCTCACTTGGGGAGTGAATCATCGGACGGAAGATCTTCTTCTCTGTCTCTCCTCTCTGTATATCTGCCTTTCCAATAAAAAAAAATAATAATAAAAAAATAAATCTAAAAAAAAAAAAAAGTTGGGGTTCTGCACATATGCTATGCAGTGCATAGCTCCTGGGTAGAGGCAGTCCTGACTGTGATGACGGCCTTGTCTGGTTACAGTGTGGTTTTAGAAAGTGTTTTCTCCACACTTAAAGGATTAGTGCTCTTACAGTGAACCATGCAGGTGTCAGCAAGGGGACCCTCCTCTCCTTCAGCCCAAAGAATGGATTCAGGAGATGGGAAGCTTGGAAGGCCCCTCCTTGTCACTCCTGGTTTCTGGAGTTGATCAGCACATTTTCTTTTTAAAAATGTTTGTGAAAGGTAAGAATTCTAGAATTCCAGAGGGAAGAGAGACGAGTCTTTCATTTGCTGTTTCACTCTCTGAATGGCCACGATGGCCAGAGCTGGCCAATCTGGAGCCAGGAGCTTCTCCCAGGTCTGCTGTGTGGGTGCGGGCTCCAAGCACTCAGGCCATTCTCCTCTGCTTTTCTAGGCACATTAGCAGGGCTCTGGATCAGAAGGGAAGCAGCCGGGACTGGAGCTGGCCGGCACCCATTTGAGGTGATGGTACTGCAGGCTGTGGCTTTACTTGCTAAAGGACTTTCAGCATGTTAATTTATCTCTTTTGATCTCAGCAGGTCAAATGCCATAGATACCTAAGGTTAATTACTAGCTTTTCTTAAATAAAAAAATTTGAATTCCACAGTTGATTGCTTAGCCAGAACGGATGACTTTTATTGCAGTAATTTCAGATTAAGCATTTTATGATAAAATGTTCTAAATGTTCAGAAATTCTGTTTACATCCCTCAGCTTCATTCCATCATTTCCTGTCTTCCTTTGCTGCACCCCCACCTCCACATACAGACCAGTCTCCAAACAAAGGGAACCGCTTCTAATCCCAATGGCCAAATCTGCCTGCCTGCAGGCTTTTGCATTTTAATCCCCAAATTCCTGTCTTCTCATTCATTCCTTAAGTGGCAGCAACAGCTGAAGTTGAGCCGATCCAACGCCAGGAGCCAGGAGCTTGTTCCGGGTCTCCCACTTGGGAGCAGGGTCCCAAGGCTTTGGGCCGTCCTCCACTGTTTTTCCAGGCCACGTCAGGGAGCTGGATGGGAAGTGGTGCAGCCAGGACACGAACTGGTGACCATATGGGTTCCCGGTGCTTGCATGGGGAATATTAGCCAACAGAGCCATCATGCCGGGCCTACTGTGTGTTGGTCTTTGCTGTTTATCAGAGCTGGATGCATTTATTCTACTACTCTCCTATCATGCACCTGACACCCAGGAGGCGCTTAAAACATAATTGTTAACAAAGCAAATTTCAATCAACTCATTTCCAGGGAAAGGGGGAGAGAAGGAGAAAGTAAGGCCACGCTTTGGCTCCTTAGGGATCCCGAGGAAGTAAGTCATGACTGGAAGATAACGTTCGTAGTCCGAGGGCGCCATGCTGTTGCTAGCCCTCCCATCTGGAGTTCATGGCCTGGAGGAATCAAATGCATCTCCGTGCTGGGCTGAGGGAGCGTTAACGGAGCGTAACGAAGGACAAAACCGTGTGTAAGGGAGGTGCACCTATCTCGTCACTTCGAGCCGCCGGGGTGAGGGCGCCCACGGTGACGTAATCAAGGCGCGCGGTGCCTTCACTTCCGGGCGGAAGGCCTGACTCCCGCGAACGTGCCCGGTACCCCAGCGCCTCAGCACACCGGAACTGGACGGATTTCGCAGAGCACGCGTGCCTTGCACTTATGAGATGGTTGTTTGTTACTGAAGCCACCCTGTTCTCAGTGGTCAGTGGCGCTGTTAATGAGCGGATGTTGAGTGGAATGAGGACCTGAGGGCCCCACTGCCTTATCTCGTTGTGGTTCTGTCCTACACGTAAGTCTGCAGAGCTTATGTTTTTGGAACATTACAAAGAATATTCTTTTTTATCACTTAAAAAGGATTTATCTTTTATTGGAAAGTCAGATTTACAGAGAGAAGGAGAGAGAGATCTTTAGTCCGCTGGTTAACTCCTGAAGTGGCTGCAATGGCTGGAGCTGAACTGATCCAAAGCCAGGAGCCAGGAGCTTCTTCTGGGTCTCCCACGCGGGTGCAGGGTCCCAAGGCTTTGGGCCGTCTTCAACTGCTTTCCCAGGCTGCAAGCAGGGAGCTGGAAGGGAAGTGGAGCAGCTGGAATACAGATCGGCACCCACATGTGTGTGCAAGCTGAGGACTTAAGTCACGAGGCTACCGTGCCGGGCCCAAGAATATTGTCTTTTTGTTTTTTGTTTTTTTTATGATTTTTTAAAATTGTTATTAACATTGTATTGTGTGATACAATTTTATAGGCACTGGGAAGAATATTGTCTTAATCATGTATTACACAAGCAAAACCTTTACACTATAAAAGATAAACATATCTCAAAACGTGAAACAGGGAAAATTAGCCCAAACACAGATTTCAACTATTTTTGTATTTTGTTTGTAATATGAATAGAATTTTACTCAAAATTTTGAGAGATTCATTTTACTTGAAGAATTGCAGAGAAACAGAAAGAGAAATCTTCCATCTACTCGTATATTTCCCAAATGGCTACAGTGGCTGGAGCTGAGCCAATCCAAAGCCAGGACCCTCTTCTGGGTCTCCCATGCGGTGGAGGGTCCCAAGATCTGCTGCTTTCCCAAGCTTTGAGCAGGAAGTTGGATGAAAAGCTGGTGCGCATATGGGATGCGAGTGCTTGCAGACAGGATTAGCTGGTTGAAGTATTGGGCTGGTCCCTCTCCAGATAGCTTTAAACAAGGTAATTTTATTTGGAATCATGTTTCATCAAGAAACACATTGTGTTGGAGAATACCTTGGTTTATAACTTAAAGTCTAAAATGTTTTTGGTCTATTTTAGACTATTCAAAGAGTTATGGGCTTATTAATCAGTTGCACGTTTCCTAGTAGCTGTACATGGGATAGCTTTGGTGCTTTGTTGTTGAAATATAGTCCCTTGGTGCTGGTCAGGTACCAGTGCACGGTGCCTGCTAGTGCCTGATGCCTGTTGGGGACTCCAGGAGCTCGGAGCCGCCTGGAAGCCCGCATCCAGCAGCTCTCCCCGGGTGCTTCACAAGCATACGTCATGTTTCATTTCATTCACTTGTCCTGCAAGTGTCTTTGTTGCAGACACTGAGTTAAAGTTGTGGACGTTGAAATAAAATGGTGGGCAAAGCATGTGCATTTTAGTAGTCATGAGAAAATGATCACATATAAAATGCCAGAGTCACACATGGCAACTTAACCTACTGTGCCAAAACAGCAGGCCCGGCCCTCTCTCATCTCTGCTTCTTCATTCTGCTTGGGCTCCTTTCTCCTCCTATACAGTGGTTTGAACAGAATATCTTCAGAGGAAATCCAGGATGAACTTGGACTTGAACCTTTTTGCATTTTTTTCTCCCAGGGATCCTAACCCTGCCATCCATTACCTGGGAACACTTCTTTTACATGTTTTTATTTAACTTTATTGTTTAGATTAGGAATATAAGCTCAGTACTTGCCATTGTATCATATCTGATTGATTTTTTTTAAAAACTAAGAATGCTTACAGACTCGAGGGCATCATTTACTCTGTCAAGCCGATGAGCTGAGGGACCTGCTTGTGGTTCTTACCAGATTTAACTTGGTGTTCTTACAGAGACTTAGACAAAACCCAATAACCCCAAGAGAAAGCTATCATTCTGATTGGCTGCCTTAGTCAACATAAATCTTTTTATTGCGTAGGAACATAATTTATATATCCCTTGGATATTCTCAATTTCATGTCTTATCATATTGGAATCCTCCAATTAGTTTATATGTAGAGAAATGCATCTCTTTCTGGAGCTGTAAGGGAGAATGGCATTAGTTTAATTCATTTATTGGGGTGATTCAGTTAATTATAAAAGATTTTCATTTTTAGAACCAGACTCGAATTCTATTCATTACTTTTCTAAATAAACGTTGGACTAGCACCATGGCATAGTAGGTTGAGCTGTTGCCTGCAATGCCAACTTCCTCTATGGGCACCAGTTTGAGTCTTGGCTACTCTACTCTTTTTTTTTTTTTTAAGATTTATTTATTTTTATTGCAAATTCAGATACACAGAGAAGAGGAGAGACAGAGATGTTCCGTCTGATGATTCGCTCCCCAGATGACTGCAATGGCTGGAGCTGAGCCTATCTGAAGCCAGAAACCAGGAGCTTCTTTCAGGTCTCCCACATAGGTGCAGGATCCCAAAGATTTAGGCCATCCTTAAATGCTTTCTGAGGCCACAGAGAACTGGATGGGAAACTGGGCCGCCAAGATTAGAACTGGCATTCTTATGGGATCCTGGACTTTAGTTGCTAGACTACCGCACTGGATCCAGCTACTGTACTTCTGATCCAGCTTCCTGCTAATATGCCTGGAAAGCAGCAAGGATAGCTAAAGTGTTTGTGCATGTACTCTCATGTAGAAGACCTGGAAGAAGCTCCAGGCTTCTGGCTTTGGACTGACCTAGCTTCATTTGGGAGGTAAACTGGTGGATGGAAGATCTCTGTTTTTCCTTGTTTCCCTGTAAATCTGCTCTTCAAATAAAAATATGTCTTTTTCTGAAAACTTCGTTTAAAAAATTCAGGCTTGTAGAGCTTAATGAAAGAAATGGAAAGAAGACTGAAGATTTTTTACTTAATGACAGTGAAGTAACTGGACATATAGAATTTTTTCTTTTTAATATTAAAGTAGCTTCTAAAAATTTGTATATGATAGCCCCAAATAATAAAACATGTTCCTTTGTAGGATTCTGAAAATGAAGCTTCATGTATAGCACATTTGAATTTATCTGCAATCCAAGCAATACAAACAGTACGTTAACATGTTCTATTGTTTCACTTTTAGGGAAAAAAAGAAGCAAATGATACCAAGACAAGCTCATATCAGAGATTTAATCGGCAAATGTGTGTGGAAGAAAATACAGGTACAAATGAGTCTGTTGGGTCTATGTCTAAATAGTTGTATAATAGTAACGTATTCAGAATGTCACCGCCGAATGTAGAACAGCAAAAAATACCAAGGAATCAGACTTGCAGTAAGAGTTTAATATTATTTCAGTGTGTTCTGGTTTTTACAGTATGCCCGGTTTGGGGAGTAGGGATGTAAAGATTATTTCTGTGCTTCATAGATTGTAAGCCATTTGTTTATCCTTGACAAACCCATGTGGTTGTGTACAGTGGGGCAGGTATTCTATGAGAAAGAGACTTCCTCCTTTTATATCTTCAAGCTCTACTCAGGACTCTTCCCATCTCTTGGTCTTAACTGAATGGAACCAGTCCTCTGAGAGCAGAGTTTCGTCTATTAACCTCCCAAGAGGATGTCCTTTTAAACTCCAAGTAGCTCCCAGTTTGAAAGTGGGGTCAGTGACCTTCCATTGCCACTTTGCACTCCACTACACCTTCACTCTCTGCTTAGGAAGTTTATAGGTGTGACATCTCAGTCACTGCTTCTCTTTCCTTGGCAGTTTCCAGACACCTCCCTTCCTATCTGCTCCATGTCCATCCATCAATTTAGATGACTTCAGTAGATATGTAAACGAGCCATTTGCTATTCCGGTGAATTATCCAGTCTGCCTCATCTATCTGTTGTCATGTGCTGGACCTTGTCAGTACTTGACACTGCTCCATCAAGCAGACAGTGCAAACATCTAGCATCTCCTTCTCAACCTTCCAACTTGCTTTAAGTGTCCCGCTAGGATCAGTCTTCCATTAGGTGCTTTGAGTTGACTTTTTCATTCTTGGACCCATTCATCTATGCATTCATCAATCACCCTTTTCTATCTCATATTGTCTTCGTATTACTGGTAGATTCTAAAACACATCATTTCAGCTCTTCTGCAAATTCTCTGGCAAATCTAGATCTTGGATGAACTTATCTGTTTTCCTCATGTCTCCACCTGAGCTATAGAGAACTTTGGAGAGGAATCAGTGGAGCAGACTGATGCCATTCTAGGTTAATAACCCATGGATTGGAGAGGAAGCCTGAGATGCTTAGTAAATTAAACACTCTAAAGGTACTAAGCATGTGAAATAAAGAAATATTATACTAAGATGTGCATTTTTGTAAGATCCATAAGACTTTCTGGTTCTTTCCTGCCAGAATCTTTTTAAAAACCCACTCTATTCTCAAATATCCAACTTTCTCATTCTTATCTGCTAACCTTACTTCTCATTTCACTGAATAAATGGAACTTCATGCGACCAGCTGTTTTTCCTCTCCTAACAAAGCCCAGCAGTCAGTATGTGCTATGAATTCTTTCTTTCTTTTTTTTTTTAGATTTTACTAAGAATGCTAGCTATAGCCTCTCTAATTTTATTTCCGTGTCTTCTTCCATACTGGATTCTTCTCAATAGCAATTTTAAGTTCTATAATCTCATTATAATAAACAAACCAACAAACAGCCAACCTCCTCCTACCTCTACATGCTTCCCTCCAAATTCTTCTGGAAACCATGCTTATCTAATTACCATTAGTCTTCTTCTCCCCCCATTCTCCAGTTTCTGGTCTGAGTTTCCTGTCATTTTTCTCTCTGAATCTTCTGCCCCTGTTCTGTCTAGGAGCCCTTGGATTTGAGTCCTGTTAGTCACTCAGTAGGAATCATTCTTTTTGAAGCATTAATTGCTGCCATAGTACGTAGCCAAATGTGCTTTTAGAGTCTTCATGTCACATTGCCTCTCAGAGTCATTATGCAAAGTTGGCTCTTTCCTCTTCTGGAACACTTCTTCCTGTTGGCTGTCACAATAAAACATGTTTCTAGGTTCCCTCTACTTCTCTGACAGGTCTTTATCTTTTGCCATTTTTTCCTCTTTTGTCTCACCTGTGTCTCAAGGCTCAGTCAGAGCCTCTTCTAACCTTACGTTCTACCACCAGGGCAACCCTATCGCCCCTGATGGCTTACTCCGACATCTGTACTTTCCAATTCTCTCTGCGGCCATACTCCTCTTAGGAACTTTCCATGTGCCATCTCTATCCAGAGGACTTCAGATGCCTTAACTTGAATGCATTTTAAATTGAACTCAAATTCCCGAACTTTTCTTTTTTCCATTGGTAAACATTTCCATGAACCCCTTGCTCAGGCTATGTGCTTTGGGTTTATCCTTGTTACCACTGCTCGTGTGCAACGAGTCACCAACTGTTGCTGCTACTCAGAATATTTTATTATCAACATTATTTTCCCATGGCCATATCAAATAGCCTTTGACAGGCCATTTTTTTTTTTTTCTCCTCAGGCCTCCGTTCATTTTCCTCAAAGCTTTAAGAGGGACCTTGCAAAAATGCACATCTTCGTATCATATTTCTTTATTTCACATGCTTAGTACCTATAGCATGTTTGATTTACTAAGCATCTCAGTTTTCCTCCCCTAGCCCATACTGCTTTTCTTCTCTTACATACAACATGCCAGTCACGCTGGTCTTGTCCTGGGTCCTCAGATGTACACCTGACCTCCTGAACCCGAACCTTTGCCTCAAACACTCTTAAGTTCTTTGCCAAGATAACATTGACCCATATTTTAGGTTCTTTCCTCTAGAAAGCCTTCCATGACCTCCTACGCTGGTTAAGGGTCTTCATTCTATATGGACTTGTTACCCCTTGCACTTTTCCTTCAAGGCACTAATAAATCTAATTAAGTAGCTTCTTCTCAAGATGGCATTATTTTAATGCCTGTCCCCTTGCTGGGCTGTGTATTCCATGGAGGTCAGGGTGTTTGTCCACTGCTGCTGTATTGTCAAGATCTGACACTGTATTTGGTTCATCACATGTGCTGATCACCTGCTGTTTTAAGTGGATGAGGGATTTAAATAAAATACAATAAATAAGAATGTAAAGATGGAAGCCCACAGATTGCAAAGTGCAATAAAGATAAGTGGCAGTTAGCCCAGCTGAGGAAATCTACCAGCCTAACTGCCATTGGTGGCTCCCAACAGAGTCTTGGACACAAAGAGGTGGCCAACACTTGAGTTCTTGGTTTAACTTCTCTCTCTGTCCTCTGCCCTCTTTGTCTCTCCCTTGGAGAGTGCAAGGCAGCTTGGTAGTTGTTGCATCCATTCTTTGGGAGTAGAGCAATGCATCAGCCCTTCTTTCCTGGATTCTTCAAACCTGGATTCTTAACTGAAATCCCCAGTGAGGACCATAGATGAGAGTCACATTTAGGTTGTTCTAGAAAGCAATACAAGGTTAGTTGCTTTCTCCATCCTTCAGAAAAGAATTAACAAGGGAGAGATAGAGAGGACTTCTTTAACTTAAATATGTGTACATCCAGTACCCCTCATTCTCCTAGGGCGAAGCTTGCCATTCTTGTTTCTTACATCACAAACACCCAGTTAACATGGAAATTCTGATCACACCTGGCACACTTTAAAACCAAGAATATGTTGTCCAGGAAACTCATTTTTTTTTGTATAAACCTTAATTCTTAAAATAGTCCTACTGGGCTGGCACGGTAGCTTAGTGGCTAAAGTCCCCGTCTTGCACACACTGGGATCCCATATGGGCACCGGTTTGTGTCCCAGCAGCCCTGCTTCACATCTGGCTCCTGCTTGTAGCCTAGGAAAGCAGTAGAGGATGGCCCAAAGCCTTGCGACCCTGCACCCGCATGGGAGACTCAGAAGAGGCTCTTGGCTCCTGGTTTCAGATTGGTGCAGTGCCAGCCGATGTGGCCACTTGGGGAATAAATCAAAGGTTGGAAGATTTTTCTGTCTGTCTTTCCTCCTCTCTGTATATCTGACTTTCCAATAAAAAAATATAGTCTTACTGATGATCTGACAAAAATAGTTAGAGTCCTACCTAACATGCCAGGGAACAGGCATTATTTATTTGAAATGCGGAGTTACAGAGATGGAAAGATAGATTTTCCATCCACTGGTTAACTCCCCAAATGGCTGCAACAGCCAGAACTGGGCCAGTCTGAAGCCAGGACCCAGGAGCTTATTCTGGTTCTTCCACATGAATACTGGGGCTCAAACGCTTGGGCCATCCTCTGCTGAATTCCTAGTGCATTAGCAGGGAGCTGGACCAGAAGTGAAACAGGCAGGACTGGTGCCCACATCTTTTTTTTTTTTTTTAAAGATTTATTTATTTTTGTTGAAAAATCAGATATAAAGAGAGGATAGACAGAAATTATCTTCCATTTGCTGATTCACTCCCCAAGTGGCTGCAATGGCCAGAGCTGAGCCAATCTGAAGCTAGGAGCCAGAAGCTTCTTCTAGGTCTCCCATGTAGCTGCAGGGTCCCAAGACTTTGGGCCATCCTCAACTGCTTTCCCAGGCCATAAGTAGGGAGCAGGATGGGAAGCAGGTTAGCCTTGAGCACATGAACCAGCATCCATATGGGGTCCAGGGTCATGCAGGGTGAGGACTTTAGCCACTAGGCTGCCGGGCCGCGCCCTGCAACCCACATCTGATGCTTAACTTATTGTGTCACAAGGCCAGCCCCAAGGTATTTTTTAAGACACTTTTAATCCAGTGAAAGTCAATATTCACTCACTGTGGGTGTGGTACAGCAGAATCCTGAGGGCTGGGACAGAAACCCTGCCCTTGAGGACCTGAAATCAAGATCCCGGTCCTTGGCTGCACTACAGGCTGTCAGTAGAAGGGAGCACAGGTTAGGGAGGCAGCCTGTAGGAAGGTTGGATCCTTGGATGAGGTAAGACCTGAGCTGGACTGCTAAGATTAAACAGATGGTCACAACACAGCCACGATGGGGAGCAGGCATTCTAGGTAGAGGAAACAGCATGTTCAAGGACACATAGTCTGATACAGGTTGATGTATTTGGCCTCCAGCAGTGAGTTGAGGGGTTGGGGGAGCAGAAAAGGTACACAAGAATCAAATCATGAGGAGTCTCCCATGCCGGAAAAAGTGAGGACTAGATCCCGTATCTGTGGAGACCTTCTGGAGCCTTTGAGTGCGAGCAAATGGGGTACATT